GCTCTTTCAACAGCCGAAGCCGAATACGTAGCAGCCGCATCATGTTGCTCACAATCCTTGTGGATCATGCAACAAGTGAGTGACTACGGGATCATCCTAAATTGCACGCCAATTCTATGTGACAATACTAGTGCAATCAGCATCTCAAAGGATCCGGTCATGCACTCACGAACAAAACATATCCACATCCGGCATCACTTTCTGAGAGATTGCGTGGAAAAGGGGCTAATCAAGGTAGAATATTGCAACACCGACAAGCAAATTGCTGACATTTTTACAAAGCCCCTGGGAAGAGAAAGGTTTGAATTAATTCGACTTGAACTTGGTCTCATCAATGCTTAAAACTGTTCTAATCCATGCTAAATCTTTTTTCGGTACAACCTAAGGAGAAATACTTTTTTAAAAAAAGGAGACAAGATCCTTTAAGTTTTTAAATTGCCAAAATTTTTGGGGATAATACAGCTACATAATCGGCCACTTCCTATTTGGAAGGAAATCATTAAAGTTTTTTTTGGGAAGTGGGAAAGGTTAGGGGCCACTGGTGATTCCTTACCAAGTGTTCCGTATACCAATACGCCGCCCACTTCCAAAATAAAAAACCTTCCATAACCTCTTCCTTCTTCTCCTTCTTAAACCGCCATGGTCAAAACCAGAGGCTGCGCTCCTCCAACTGCTCCTCGTCGTTCTAGCCGGAAAAGAAGCTTATGCCCCTAACTGACACTTCTCAAACAGTTGCACTTGAATATTTTAACCCAACCATTTCCGAATCCTCTCTTCATGTTGCGAGCCTTGCACCAATTCCCAAACTACTGTTCTACTTTGTTCATCACAACTTGATTCCTAGGCTAGAAGGGAGATTCACACCCTCTAGAGTTGAACTGGCCTATATGTACCTTTTAGCCAACAAAATCCCTATCAACCTTCCCGGGTTAATGATGGCTCATCTAAGTTCTACCATTAGTACCTCATCCCGAAGGATTGGGATTCCATATGCCCCACTGCTTACAAAAATATTCCTATCTAAGGGCATTGCTCTAGACAGGTTCTCCTCTGAAGAAGCCTGCAAGGTCCTGGACAAGAGATGTCTTAGCAACCTCGGTCTCATTATATCAAACTCTCACCTACTTCCAAAACCGACCGATCCATCTTCTTCAGAACAAAAACCCAGACCAAAACCAACTCCTGTTCCTTCCATCGACCCAATGATGGTGGTACCCCCAATCACTGACCGCATAGATCTCCTGGAACGTTATATTCAACACCAATTTGCTTCCCTTTCAGACTCCATCTCTGCATTGGCAAAAAAGGTGGACACAATGGCTGATTCAACCAATGCTATTCGGAATGATTTCCAATCCTTCAAACAGGAAGTGGCGGAGCGGCTCTGTGAATCTGGCTCGACTCATCGGAGAATAAATTACTCTTCTGAGGATGATTAAACATTTTTTACTGGGGAAGGGTTTTGCTACATAACATCTTAACAAACTGTCCTACTTTGCACTTTTACTTGGCACTGTTTTGGTTATTTTCTGTTTCCTTTTGGTTGATGCCAAAAGGGGGAAATAATCAGGTGCCTGCTTATTATTGCTACATTAAAAACCTACTGTTACTTTATTGCTAAGTTTTGCTCAAGTACTAACCTGCAGGGACTCTTTTGGCACCATAGGTTTGTCATCAACAAAAAGGGGGAATTTGTTGAATACGTTTGTTTTGTTGATTACTAACCATACAGGGGAACAGCGGATAGAACCGCTCACAGTTCCTTGAGTAAAAGGAACGAATGGATATTATTAATTTGATTGACTAACCATGCAGGAGAAACTAAAACACAATCCGTGATATGATTTGAGTTAATACGGATTGTACCTACTTGTTCTTTTATTGCTATGATTTCCTATATATAAGTAATTATTCTCTTTCCACAATTGATATAGCTTAAGTATGGTACATAAAATATTCCATAGCTACACGGTTGTGACAGAATAAAAGCTGGTTGAAATATATTCCATATCTAAATGAGTTGATTGCTTATATTGAGAAAAATATTCTTACCTTCTTGAATATTGACCAAAGCCTACCTTATTCGGTAATTAATTGATTGACTCAAAAAGATGCACGAGATATTTGTATCTAGTCTTAGTCCAGGGCCGATATATATGATGGTTAATCCGGCTTCCTTAAACATTGAGCTCGAATATGGGAAGTATTATAAAGAAGGAAAGCAATTCAAAATATTGGAGCAAGTCCCAAGATTAGAAGATCAACTATTCAAGGAAGGATGCTTAAACAGGCTGCCCAAGACAGCCTATATAAACGAAGAAGCCAAAGAGAAATGGGTGTGCTTGACTAAGCTTCTGTTGAGATATTTACACTAGAATATTTACTAAGTCCAAGGCACCTGAACCTGCTCACGGAGTTCCAGACTGAGTTTCCTTTTCTTTCTTCTTATTGTAATTGGGTTTTTTGAGGATTGGCTAAGTGTAGCATCCTCGGGTCGGTTAGTGTGTTGTGAGAGCTTTGTTGTAAAACTGAGAGGCTCTCTACCCGCAAGGTAGAGATGCATAACTCTTCCTAGAGAGGATAGAGTTGGGGTGGCTCAAGGGTAGACTAGAAGAGTTTCCCTTGTAATCATTCAAAGGCTTTTTAGTGAAGTTGTTCAAATTCCTCCGAGGGAGGTCGAGGTTTTTTAATCTCTTTGAGCCAAGGGATTTTTCCTCGTTAAATCCTTGTGCACTTTATTATTTCGTAATTCCCTAGACCCCACACACTAGAACTGTGCGAAAAACTGCCACGGTTCCACACACACACAATTCACCCCCCCCCCCCACCCCCCTCTTGTGTTGCTAACCGTTTCATCAGCGATCGTAAACAATTTCAGATTTTCTACAACGGTTGAACTTTTCGCATGCAACTGGTAATTTGGCATCAGCCCAATCATTAACAAGCTTGTCATGAGGATGTATTTCAAGCCAATTGGGTGAGTATTTTCACAAATTATGTAACCGGTAACCCTTTCACAAATTAATTTTTTATTTAATATCAAGAAGTTTTGTAAAGCTACACCAAAATAAGTAGAAAAATTAAGGATCATGTTGTCCTTCGAAAATCCAAAATAATTCAAACCACCGAACTTATGATTCCCGTTTAAAGCAGTACCTTAGAATCTCGATAAATCCGATCCATGGAGTTCGTAAAACTCTTTTTCGTGGTATGCCGGCAATCTGTCTTTCAAGTGATAAGTTCATGGAGTTTGTTGATCAACGTGGTCTCTAGTGGTAGCATCAATTCTACAATATAAAACTTCTATTAGCAACTTGATAATAAGAAAATTAGCTATTAGCATTAGTATTTTAAAATCAATAAATTGTGTTTGGGAATAAGCTATAGATAGATATCTGATTACACGCACATATATATTAGTGCTTTCATCATTCTGACACAACTGTAAATTGGGATGCTAAAGTTAGTGTTATATACTTATATACCAAGCGGTTGTCTAATAGAGAGTGGTCTATTCCAAGCGATGTACTCCAAACAGTTATACAACGTCAGGGGCGGATCCAGGAATGAAGAGTGGGGTGGGCTAAGAGAAAAAATGTTACTGCAGACAAAAGTTTTAGCTTAGGGCTGTTATCGAACCGAGCTTTTTTCGAACTTCTCGAGTTCGAGCGTGCTTTCAAATTTAATTTAACGACCTGAGCTTAACGAGCTTTTTCTAACTTGAACACGGACTAGATTTTGAGTTCGAATAGTTATTCAAGCCGAGTTGGAGCATAGTGATATTCGGTTCAATGCGGATTCGAGCCCGTCGATAACTCATAAATCATAGGAATAAATTTTATTTATCTTAAAATTTAAACATTTTTAGTGCGATTTATAAATCTATTTAAACACTAATAAAAGAGAATCAACACTAAAAATTTAAACATTTTTAGTGCAATTTATAATAATAATAATAATAATAACAACAACAACAATAATAATGGTAATAATAATAGAAATAGTATATGCCCAAATAAGGATAGTGAATAAAAAGTGACGTAGTTATTTTAATGATTATAATTATGTTTAATTTTTACAATTAGAATGCTTACAAAAGTTACTAATAGTGACTTGGGTCAAAAAAAGTATGCTTATTTAATGTTAGTAATATTTTTGGAAAAAACTCTTGATAATAATAGAAGTAATAATAATAGTAGTATTAATATTAACATAATAATAACAGTAATATAATAATATAATATTAATCATAAAATTAATGTTTAGCATAATCATGTTGTAAACTTGTAATATAAAGTATTATAAATTTCAAGGGTCATTCTTGGTGTACACAAGATGTACACAAAATATGTACATTGTCTATGTACACACTACACATGCAATTAAGGGGGTTTTGGTATTAAATCCTGCACTTTTTTAAACGAATTGCATATGTACACATACAACTAGGTTTTGTGTACACTAAGAATTTTTCAAATTTCAAAAGAGTACATAATTGATGGTGTGGGTGAGTGGGTGAGATGAGATTGCATAATTTGCAACATTAGCTATATACTCAGTATGTAAAGTCTTGCTCTTCTCAATTTTTCCCACATCGGCTGAAGAGGATGTTTCCCCCTCCTCAGTGCCATATAAATAAACCATTCCTTGTTTTAATTGAAGAAGTCAACGTTTAGTTAAGTTGTCATAAGTCCATAGCTTGATTGTTACGCACCGGGACCATTTGTTGTCTTGGCTACGGGCTTTATAAGTTTGGGTCGCCTTTTATCATGAGGTTATGGCTGCTGCTTTGGACCTGGGCTGAGCGGTAAATCTCTTTCTATATTATTAAGAAAAAATTGGGTTGGGCTGGGCTGAAGCCCACTCCTGTCCCTGCATAGATCCGCCCCTGTACAACGTGGAAATGTGACTTCTAGAATTGCGGAAGAATTTATTTCATGTTTGATGTCATATCGGCACCTGGATTACTGCTTATACATTTAAGCAAAGCTCAAGGTCATCGCTTTTGGCCGCTTTTCGCTTTAAAAAAGTTTGCGATGGTAAACAATTTCAGATTTTCTACAACGCTTGAACTTTCCGCATGCAACTGGTAATTTGGCATCAGCCCAATCATTAACAACCTTGTCATGAGGATGTATCTCAAGCCAATTGAACTGTATGGCGAATTCAGGGAAATATATCTTTTTTATGTGAGCATAGAATCTCGGCATTCCATCAGCTGTGTCATAACGAGCCCACAGTTGGTCAGCTGCGAAGCAACTCTCTTCCTTGTCCTTGTCAAAATCATGGAATTCTGGATCAGGGTATGTATATGTCTCAACCGAATCATCAACATTATTGAGATCTGAATCTGATTCGCAATCCATAATAACTTCAACCTTTTGGGAACCATTTGAGGTTGAGCCAGTGGCATCATCTGCATCAGTACGTTTTTCCTTTGTGCAGGCTTTCAGGAAGCGCTACATCTTCTGTGTATGGAACAGATTTTGAATGCTTCGAATGGAAATCATCATCCTCAGTTTCATTGTATGAAACATCCTGCCTTCTCCGAAATGATCTCCTCACATTGTCACGCTTAACACCAACTCTCTGCACACCAGAAGGGCTTCTCTCCTTTTCTTCAATGTCAAAATCTTCTGACTCATCATTACTTGTTGAATAACAACTCTCACTTGATTCAGATGCACATTGTTTCCTGCCCCTTTTCTTGCTCTCAACTCTTGAGTCTTGTGGACTTTCATTGACCTTAAGTTTCTCTTTACTCCTCAAATCCTTAAACACCTGAGAAGCGTTCCCTCTTTGTGTCCCTGCTTGTTGGTGGGGATACTGAGGAACTGCGGATGGATTTGCAGTCGGTTTAGCAGATCCTTGATTTTGAACCACTATTTGCTTGTAAGTCTGCTGACTAGGTTGACGTGCACCAAAACCAGTTGAAATGCTATGAGACCCAATATCATATTTATGCAACGAATGGTTTTGCACAGTTCTGGCAGCGAACAGCTCTACACACTATCTCTCGTCTATACTGATATCTCACACTACAGAAAGGACAGCTAGTCCAAAATGAGCTTTCATCAACAGATGAAGTTGTTTGTGCCTTTTGGTGATGGTTTGGGGCGGTGAACTGATTATTGAGACCGTTAGACTCAAAATTTGACCTGGGGGCAGGGGGGTTGACTGGATAAGGTGGCCGCGGTTTTACTAATAAATACACTAACCACTCAAATGCCCAACTTCCCAAATGAATCTGCCATTTTTTTCATGCCCAAGTATATGTTTTCCGACAGAGACGAGAGCTGCGCAAACGTAGATCAAACCCTAGAAACCGAGTTCACCAACCCGACTAGATTTGGAAGGAGATCTAGATGATTTATTTACGATGCAAAGATGCAACCGTGTTTATTAGCAAACCTGACGTCTGGCAGCCCGGGCATGTACACACATGAATGTATGTCTAGATTCAGAGGTCGAAGGGTTGAGACGGGTTTGAATTTGTTGGGAGCGATATGACAGTAATGGTGAGCAGCGGCGGGAAAGTGAAGAAATTTAGAGTGTGGGAGGGAAGTCCTCAAATCTTCCGAAAATTCACTTACCCACTCTAACAGAAATAGGAGAAATAATTGGGACGGACTTCCTACATCTATTTGGGGTGTTCTATCGGTCAAATAACTCCCAAAATAATGGGTAGGGGACAAGATGAATAGCATGAAACGTGCTAGTTGGTGGGAGTTCTCATTAAGACAACATCATACACATGACTTTCTTACGCAATTATTTTGTGTTGATTGAAAGGTAATCCTTCCCCCACCCTCTTGAACCATTCGAACCACCCAAAACCAAGAGGGACAGAGAGAGCTTAAGGATAACTCTCACAATCAGGAGCTCTAGAGGAGAAGAAGGGATAACAAGCCAAAAGAAGCTAGAAAGAAATAAAGGTAATAACTCTACAACTATTTTTTAGCTAGTATTTTGATATGATTTTAAGAAATCATATGGTGGATTAAACATGAAGTTCTACACGTTTAAAAGTGTAGAATATGGATATAAAGTGGTGATATTTAACTTAGAAGAGTTGGTGAATCGAAATCGCCGGAAACCGCCACTTTGAACGTTTTGAACGTTAATATGCAACACTTTGAATCTCAATATGCAATACAAATAACGTAAAGATGCGTCGTATAAACGTTTGCAAAATAAGCACATGAGTTTGTACATGATCCGCCCCTGCATATATTTGAGAAAATTCTCTACATAGGACTAAAATAATAAAGTTCACAAAATGGACCTATCATTATTTTATGAGAAAACTATAAAGTCCATGTAATTTCATCAAATAGTAAATTGAGTCCACATACTTTTAAACGAATCAATTAAATGTGTGATCTGTTAAAAAATAACCAAATCGACTATTTCATCAATCAACCGGTTTTCTGGTTGACTGCCTACATGGAATGTCCAAGTGACTTTTTTTAGTTATACTTTTTTTTTTACTTTTTCTTTTCTTCCTCTTTCTTTTTTCTAGGGGTGGGCATCAAACCCGAACCGAACCGGTACCGAATCGTCCCGTAATGGTACCGAACCGAATACCGGGTATTTAAATGGTTCTATAGATTTTTATCCCGTACCGAAACCGTACTGTTTGAAACGGGTACGGGACCAGTCCTAGATTTTGAGAACCGCAAAATACCGGACCGAACCGTTCGTAAATAATGCATTTGAATTTTTTATATTTTTTTATATCAATAAATCTAGACCAACAATTTTATACCCCAAGTATGTATTCATGTGTCCCTAAGATATCTGAAATGTGTTTATATACTCCGTATATTGTTAGTTTTTCTTTTTTAGATAAATTTATGTTATATTTTGGTATGTATTGAAAGAACATTAAAAATTTAGAAATCATTAATGATTATTTATTTCTAGTAATGTAGTGTACATGACTTTTTGTTGTATCATGTTTGTGCATTTTTTACAACTTAATTAATATGGTTTAAATCTTAGCTCTCAAGGTTCAACTATAAATTAAATTAGAACTACGGAGTAATATTTAACCTAGAACGAAGATGAAGAACGTTGAAAATTTCTATTATATTCAACAATTTGATGATATTCGTTTTTATATTTTCACATGAACTTAGTAAATTAAAAATGATATTTATCTCATGCGTCATCGTTTTGCTATACTTTTTCTTAGTTGTGTTGCACTATTTGTGTATTTGTGAATTTTAGTACTAGGTATGCAATTTCTTGTATTTATTTCAAAATTTCATGTGAGTTGGTTGGCGTGATGATATCTACTAATTGAAAGATTTGTTCAAAAATTTTAGCATGTGTTTGGCATTGTACCGTACCGTTTTGTACCGTTCCAAAACGACATGGTACCGAACGGTTCTATCCTGAGAACCGGACTGTACCGGACCGTTAAAAACCTCACGGATACATTACGGGTTTTACCAATTTACCAGACCGTTCCGGACCGCGCCCACCCCTACTTTTTTCTTTCTTCTCTTTCTTTTTCTCCTACTCCTTTCCTGTTCCAGAGCATCGTCCCATTGCAACCAACTCCTCCATCTCCCCCCATTTCCAGCCACCGTTTCCAGTAAACTTCTCCCCCCTCTTCTCTCTTCTTCCACTCATCCACTCACTACAAATTTATACCTTCCTATTTATTCTTCCACGAAATTCAAAATTAGGGCTTTTGAGCAAGCACGGGTTCGTTACAGTGTCTTGGGTTGCCTCCCAAGAAGCGCCTTAGTTAACGTCGTGGCACGACACCATTGTTGTGTTCATTCTTCAAAGATTGGATCGATGAGATCCATGCATTCAATGCTTTCTTTCTGGAAACCTTCAAGGAATGCTTTGAGTTGATGTCCATTAACCTTGAGGATTTTTACGGTGTCGAGGCTTTTTATTTCCACTGCGCCATGGGTGTAGACTTTGACCACCTCGAATGGTCCTTCCCATCGTGATCTCAATTTTCCGGGGAAAAGGCGAAGGCGTGAGAGAAAAAGAAGGACTTTGTCTCCAACTTGGAAATCCTTTCTTATTATCATTTTGTCATGCCATACCTTCGTCTTTTCCTTGTAGATGGCGGCATTCTCATAGGACTCCAATCGAAGCTCTTCTAGTTCTTGGAGTTGTAGCTTCCTTTTCTCTCCCGCTTTAGCCATGTCGAGATTGAATGTTTTGACCGCCCAATAAGACTTGTGTTCGAGTTCGACCGGAAGATGACAAGCCTTACCGAACACGAGTCTATAGGGTGACATTCCAATTGGGGTTTTGAAAGCGGTCCTGTATGCCCATAAGGCATCATCCATGCGCAGGCTCCAATCCTTATGGTTTGGATTTACTGTCTTTTGAAGAATAGATTTCAGCTCTCTGTTTGATACCTCAGCTTGACCGTTTGTCTGTGGGTGGTAGGCGGTGGAGAGTTTATGTGTGACACCATATTTTTTCAACAAGGTACTCACAGTTTTGTTGTAGAAGTGAGTGCCTTTGTCGCTTATCAAGATGCGTGGTACCCCAAACCTTGAGAAGATGCGGGTTTTGAGGAATTCAGTCACCGCTTTGGCATCATCGGTCTTTGTGGCTTTTGCTTCCACCCATTTGGATACGTAATCTACCGCCAATAGAATGTATAGATTTCCATGGGAATTAGGAAAAGGTCCCATGAAATCTATTCCCCACACATCAAAGATCTCCATGTAGAGCATAGGAACTTGTGGCATCTCGTGCTTTCAAGAGATGTTGCCCATGCGTTGGCAATTGTCACAAGATTGACAATAGACATGAGCATCTCGGAATAAGCTTGGCCACCAAAAACCACATTCAAGTACCTTCATGGATGTTCGTTTTCCTCCAAAGTGGCCACCACATGCATGTGAGTGACAAAAAGCAGGTATGGATGCAATTTCTGTTTCGGGAATGCACCTTCGAATGACCTGATCTTTGCAATGTTTCCATAAATATGGTTCATCCCATACGTATTGCTTTGCATCATGCTGGAGTTTCTCTCTTTGAGCTTTAGAGAAGCTTGGTGGAAATCTTTTTAGAACAAGGAAATTAACAATGTGAGCGTACCAAGGACGAATTTCCTTAAGGGAGAAAAGGGTCTCATCGGGAAATTCGCCTCGGATATCATCTTTGATATGATTGTTTCCTTCACCCAAGACCAAACGGCTCAAGTGATCGGCCACCAAGTTCTCCATGCCTTTCTTGTCCTTGATCTCAACATCAAACTCGCTCAGGAGTAGTATCCATCGAATCAGTCGTGGTTTGGCCTCTTTCTTTGTCATCAAGAACCTAATAGCCGCATGATCAGTGTAAATGATCACTTTGGTACCAAGTAAATATGACCTGAATTTTTCGAGCGCATAAACGACGACCAACATTTCTTTTTCGGTGGTGGCGTAGTTGCGTTGGGCATCATTGAGTGTGGTGGATGCATAATAGATCACATGAGATGCTCTTCCCACCTTTTGGCCCAAAACGGCCCCGACCGCATAGTCACTAGCATCACACATGATCTCAAAGGGAAGAGACCAATCCGGGGCTTGGATGATAGGTGCGGTTACTAATTTCTCCTTCAAAGCATTGAAGGCCTTCTTGCAGTCCTCGGAAAATATGAACTCCACATCCTTTTGCAAAAGTGTGCATAAAGGAGATGCAATCTTTGAGAAATCTTTGATGAACCTCCTGTAGAAACCTGCATGTCCAAGGAATGATCGTATCTCCTTAACGGTGGTAGGATAAGGTAGTGATCGGATAACCTCCACTTTTGCTTTGTCCACCTCTATTCCCTTGGACAAGATCACATGGCCTAGGACAATTCCTTCTTCCACCATAAAGTGACATTTTTCAGAGTTTAGAACAAGATTTGATTCTAAACAACTCTTCAAAACAAGAGATAGATGAAGTAGGCATGAATCAAATGAGTCTCCATGGATTGTAAAATCATCCATAAAGACTTCCATAAATAGCTCAACATATTCAGAGAATATGCTCATCATGCATCGTTGGAATGTGGCCGGGGCATTGCAAAGTCCGAAGAGTTGGTGAATCGATAGGAATCGAAATCGCCGGAAACCGCCACTTTGAACGTTTTGAACGTTAATATGCAACACTTTGAATCTCAATATGCAATACAAATAACGTAAAGATGCGTCGTATAAACGTTTGGAAAATAAGCACATGGGTTTGTACATGATCCGCCCCTGCATATATTTGAGAAAATTCTCTACATAGGACTAAAATAAAGATAAAGTTCACAAAATGGACCTATCATTATTTTATGAGAAAACTATAAAGTCCATGTAATTTCATCAAATAGTAAATTGAGTCCACATACTTTTAAATGAATCAATTAAATCTGTGATCTGTTAAAAAATAACCAAATCGACTATTTCATTAATCAACCGGTTTCCTGGTTGACTGCCTACGTGGAATGTCCAAGTGACTTTTTTTAGTTTTACTCTTTTTTTTACTTTTTCTTTTC